AATTGTCTCACCAACTCCAAAACAACCACAAGTATGTAGCGTTGCGTTCATGGGATAAGAAGCCGCGGTTCCCAAAGGAATTCTACACACCGTCCTAAAACCCTCTCTGCCTGGCAGGGGACGCGGAAACCTCTCCCGGCATCGCCTCCTGCGTTTGTCATGTGGACGATTAGGACGACTTAATGTGTCACCGAATGATGACACGCCTGTTCTAGGGTAAGTCAACAACTCGCGTGGACATATCAATACCTAGAACTCCGAGCGGAAAATGATGGGATGCGAGGTTCTCTGTGTGATTTCAACAAACAGCCAAGTGGCGCCTTCCGACTGTCTAAAGATTTTTCTTCTCAAGATCATAGCACCACGGCCGTGGAGGAAAACAGCAAGGCAGGCAAAACGTTTTGTTTCTGAAATTGGCTTTGTCCTTCTGCAGACGCTGAACGTTAAAACGTCAGGTGATACCCTCTTCTTCTTTACCAAACCGCGAAAGGATGTGTGTGGTACATGAACGGCAGTAAATTGGTGCTTCATTGTCTTCTAAAGTGTTCCATTTCTCAACTGTGTTATAGCAGTGTAAGCGTTACATAGTATACAAAAGCTACAAGTTCGACTGGTTAAGAAAATTTGATCAAGTCGGGAGGGACTAATTAGCCAGACAGCAGGCACGGTCTTTGCTTTTACATACGGACATTACAATGTTCATTAGCCTTGTGGGTTAAGCTCGAATAATCGCGTCCTAAATTTAGATTTGTCTTTTTTTTTGCTATACTGTTTTCCAAACGAAGAAAGGGTTTTTGTGAACTATTTACTTTTATGCACCTAATCATGTTCTAATAAGATAAGGTACAATGAAATAAATTGTCCTGAAGATAGCACACTGGTTTGGCGTTTCAACAAGCTCACACGCTCGCACACGCGAGCACACACATAGGCTACACACACACACACACACAAAAATATATCTTCGCACACAAGTTTTCCCTCTTCGAAAAGAATCTTACCCATCTATGCCAGTCCACCTCCTCTCTCCTTTTAACCTCTTTATCGTCTCCTCTTCTGTAGCCTTCTAGTCACAAGACTTTGTTTTCCTGTTGTTGTGAGGGTCTCACTTTTCAGCGTGTCAAGGGTAACCATCTTTCCTCAACTCCCCCCTTGTCGATACCTGTTCTGTTTCGAAAACAATTCCCCCATTACCCAGTGTTTTACATTGTAAACCGTATAGCTTTCCGCCAAGGTAATAACCCAACTTACGCGTGTATTTGCCGCATTCTTTGTCATCTCGACTGTAGGAAGGTGGGTAAGAAAATACCTTTTCCAGACGTCACGCTCCATCACTGGTTACTTGTTACTCTCTTCTCTCGACAAAGTTTCAATTTCTTGCTATTCGTTCTTCATTCTCAACCCCCCCTCCCCCCCCTCT